TTATTTATTTATTTATTTATTTATTTATTTATTTATTTATTTATTTATTTATTTATTTATTTATTTATTTATTTATTTATTTATTTATTGTTTTTCATTTTGGGCGCAGGAAAAAATGAATGCAAGGGAAGGGATTAAATAAATGGGTTAAAATGAAATCATTCTTAGAGGAATTAAAGAGTTCACAAACCAACAGATATTATTCCCGCTGGGAATAAGATAAATATTAATTATAAAAGTATGGAAGAGAATAGAAAAGTAAACATTCTTAACTGAAGACTTCCTCGGTTCTATTCTAAACCAGTTATTTTTGATCATTATTTTAGGGCCGGCGCGCGGCAGATGGCATCAAGGTTATTCCAGATAAAATATAACTACAAAGATTATATTGTTGACATAGCCTTTTGTCAGGAATCCTAAAGAAATCGTACTCATATTAAAACTAGGTAATAACCGTTATGAAAAATCTGATAGGTTTATCCCTCCCCGCTGGGAGGCACCGCACAAGATGACTGTTTATGATTGATGGAATTGATGGAAACTTTGGTCTTGAAAGCCAAAAGTGAGACAGATGATCTTAATACAAGGGATGAATGCTATTACTTGATGCGAGGCTTAAGCTTTTTTTCTTTTCTCGGCACTTTTGGATCTATTCACTCAAAAGATCTATGAAAATGTCAATAAACAAATAAGAATCTAGATCGAATTTTTTTTAGGTTTGCGGTTAATGCCGACGTATGGATTTGAATGGTCAAGTGAAATAGGATTTAAAGACTTTTAGGTGCACCTTTTCAATTATATTGGGTTCCGGCGCCTCAAAAGCAGAAGATCTCAATATTCATGGCTCCTTAAATACACACTTAGAATCCCGATCTGTTAGGCAGGATAGACGAGTACATGTTTTGGAAATACGTCAAGGTAGAAATGAAAATGTAAATATAGAAGAAGATGAAAATAAAGAATGAGAAGAAAAGGAGAAAGAGAGGAAAACGAAAAAAAAATATGGATGGATGGATGGATGGATGGATGGATGGATGGATGGATGGATGGAAGAGTTGGCTGCAGAAGAGCAGTCACTGCAGATGATCATATTTCCGTGAGTTCGGCTTCAAACATTAGCATAATGAGCAAAAAATTACTTTCTATTCGTCCGATTTTGATATTCAGTCAAGTGGATATTCGCCCTCTTTTTTAACAGGCATTCACATTAACTAAATTTCCAGTTTTGAACATACAATCCGTACATGGCATAATCTTACTAAGACTTCTAACACCTTTTATCCATAATATCTTAGAATACTCAGCCGATAAAAGCAAAACTAAAAAAAAAACACTTTATAGAATTACTAGAAAGTCGATGTGAGATCATCCCATTCAACAAAAAAATAATCGAATCCTCAAAGCCTCAAGGCAAGGAAAATACAAGCTGTAAAACACGTTTAAAAAAAACAGCTTGTAATTCTTCTATCTTCGTCTTTTCCTTTTTTCTCTACATTTAATTTTAGTCCAGTTTGGAAGACGATTTGGCTTTTTACGACTTAGTTTCATTTTCAATTTATGGCTACAGCTGCCTTAATTATCACGGTAAATGTCAAAATACTTTGTTTACTTCAGTTATTGTATTAGTTATTTTTCTAATTCTAGTATAAATTTTCTCGCGGTCTTTCACGGTCTCACAGATGAAATATCGGCAATAGTCACAAGAATAAAAAAGTGACAGAATATTTCCCATTTTGATTAATGAAAAAACTACTTCAATGAGTGTCAAAGATTGGATCAAAGAAAATGAAAAAAATTGCTGTAAACGATAAAGGCACTTCGTCTCTTTTTAATCATAAAAATACAGTCGTTATTTTGACTAATTTTAAAGGAACATTAATGTGTTTTTTACTTCCTTTTACGATTAGAGCAAAATTTCGTGTTTTGCAAAATAATAAAATAAACAAAAAGTAATGGCAAATTTACACATTCTTCTCAGAAAACTCGCTTCTATAGAAACATACTTTTAAAATGAAAATAAATATTTCAATTAATAATTGTATTTCACATTTTCCCCCCTGCAAGTGTTCAAAACACTGGATCCCTACTGAAGCTTCCTAACACGAAGTCTTCGAGTTTGCACGCGTTTTTTACTTTTACAAAATCATTCATTTTTTCTGTTTCTATTCACTGTAAAGGGTTCTAGATAACCCAACAAAAATCTTATTTCGTTCTGAACTGTGATAAAAATCCATAAACGTACTTTCATTCTGCAGCCTTTTCTATTTAAATCTTTTTAATGATATACACATTTAACTAGAATTAGAGCGAGCTCACCTACTCTGTTTTGTACTGATCTTGCTTTTAAAATATCGAAGCGGTTTTATGCTATTTCCACCGAGTTCTGTTTATTCATGGCGGTCATCACCGTACCCGTTTCGCTTTGAGACGAGTTCCTTTTCGCGCGCACACGAATCGGTCCTCCACAAGGATAAGAATTACGGGCCATTCTTGCCCGTTGAGTCCCGAGGAAAAGTTCAAGAAGTGCGCGCCTGAAACGTCTTTGCAACAATCCGTAAATAAACGGATCAATGGAGCTTTTGAGGAAAGCAATCCAACGCAAGGAGATTGTAACTCGATGACTTAAGGGTTGTTCTCCTTTGGCAAGTTCAAGAAGCCGTATGGCTGTGTATGGCGCAACACACAAGATAAATGCACCAATGACAAAGAGAATCTTTCGAGCTGCTTTAAACTCTCTTTGTCGGCTCGATTCCGTGGACATTGCTCCTCGCACTCCTGGTGCAAAATGTACGGCATTTATAACTGCATGTCCAATACGACGTGAATGGAGCTTAGCTACACCAAATATCTTGTAGTAAGTTCCCAACATGATGACCAAAGATAAGCCAACATTTGCTGAATAGGTGGTGACGGTGAATACGATGTAGTTAACATCTCCTAAATCAGAAGGAAACGTACACAAATAGTAATTGCGGTTAAATCTGTACCAACCAAGTCCGATGGGAATGATGGAAAACACCGTCGATTGGAACCATACAAAACTTATCATCACCAAAGCCCATTGTATTGTCATTTTGGCTCGGTATTGTAGCGGTTTGATGACGGCAATATAGCGATCTATCGAGATGGTCGCTAAGGTCAACACTGCAGCTAAGCTCAACAGCATATTCCAAAACCCTGTCGTCTGACACCAAAAGTTACCGAATGGCCATCTATTGAGGATAACTGAACCAAAGGAGTATGGCATAGCAAAGATAGCCATCATGAAGTCACAAATTGCCAAATTAACAATAAAAACGCTGGAAATATGTTTCCTGAGTTCTTTACTCCTGTACACAACAAGACAGACCAAAAAGTTCATGACTAGAGCTGCCACATTCATGAAAAATAAACTCAACGAAAAACCGAAGATTTCCGAGTTCGTCAGTTCTCCCATAGTTTTTATAGTTTCACAGAAATCCTCTTAAAAATTGTTAAGTTTGTTCGTTCATATTGTACATGAGTAATGCTGATGTATGATGAGAATAGAAACGCCTTTAAAGAGATCCAGGGTGAAAAGCAAACACTGAACACTTGATGGCGAATGCAAACCAAGTTGGGGTCGTTGAATCGCCTGAGGCCCTTTCACACATGTAGACGAAGGCCAGATTTAACAACCGGAAATCCTACAGAACTGTAACAAAATAAATTCAAATTACTGTTAGAACTTTTATAAATACGTTTTTAAGATTTCAAGAGAAGATAATCTACGAAGAAAGAAGCGTATGGTGTTTTGTATTAGAKAAGACAAGATGTGGTTCTGATACTGGACATCCCCTTTTGGTGTTTATGTAAATCCTTGACAACTGCCAGTGGACACACAAATTAGATTGAATCTTCAATAAGCATAAATTGGTTTGAATCCTAAGCTTTAATTTGCATAGAAATCAATAAGCAAAACACTAGTCGACAGGAACACCTTTAGAGAACAACTTGTCGTTTGAAATGGAACCCGACTTAAACTAAAAAACGATAGATGCAAAAAAATATAATTTTATGTTGTAAGGAAAGGCTAATTTCTATATTTATATTTAACTAATATGAATATTAGTGAAGTATTCATTCACTGCCAAAACTAGAAGCAGRATACCGTAAAACTGAAAAAAGAAAGCAACTTTCACTATGAATAATGAATAATCCATGAGTGTCGAATAGCGAGCAGAGAAAATGATTATCGCGTTTGAAATCATCTCCTCCCTTAAGTTAACAGCAATTTAAACCAGAACTGACCTCGTAAGACGAAAAAGCCACTATACTATACCTACCTCTCTTTAAAAGAGCTAAATTTCTGGTATAATGTATTGAGTCATTGGATGGCCTTATTCTCAGCTTAAAGCCCTTTCGGGACAGTCCGTAATAATATAATCCAGTTCTTTGTTCACAGCGATCAAGCATTCACTATCTATCCCTCTACTTCAAACGCTTTTGACTTGCTGTCAAATGGTTAAGTTTTTAAATAAATATAGCTGATAAATCTTTCTTTTAAGATAGCAATACTTTTGGTAGCCTATAGCTAGAGTGTTTTGTAGGAACCTTCATCTAGGACAGGTGTAGTCTTTCTCATGCAAATGAGCGAGGATTTCTCTATACACCTAGAAGAACTGCTGTTTACACACGGAGAAACTGATAATGGTACTGCGTCATAAAAACCTACCGAAATATAAATCAGTCCTAAATTCAATTTTATTCCTATCAAAAGACTATATTCCCAATAAAGGTTAGAGAGCGTTTGTTCTTAGGAACAAATTACTATTTTCTCTTAAGGGCATGAAAAAAAATAATAAAACATGAATAATAGAGGCCATGATTATGCGAAATTTTATAGAATTTAAAGTCGATTACAAATAACGATTTTATTTAATACATTGGTTTGCAATCACTTTTCACTTAAGTATAGTTGAAGCCAAATCTCTGGCCTATAGTTTCGTACTGAATAGTAAAATACAAATTCGAAACTTGTTTCTTTTTTAAAATAATTCTTCTGGGATATTTTTTTATTTTTCCACAAAGAGCTAGATTATTAAAAGAACATTGCATACTAAGCTATTAATTTATGGTAGTTTTTGGTTTAACTTGGTAGTCAGAAACTGTCCATAAATTATCCTTGAAGCCAATTAGACGCAGATCTGGCATGTCACATGACCAAAAGTGTAAATATTTGCGATAAATATTACTTTAGTTTATAATTAAATACGAACGAAAATCAGTAAAAATTTAAGAAAAAGACAGAATAAGTTAACGAAGGAAATTAGGCCTTTTTGGAATCAATCGTTTTCAACTTTCGTGGTTTTCGGAGCGAATATTAAACGATAACGGAAAAGTACTTCGTTTWAAAAAAAATGCATTCAGCTATCGATAACACTAAAACTGTATTGATTAATATATAAATGACACAGACCCCGGAATTATGCAATATTTCATTAACATCGCGGTAAAATTTTCTGATGCCGAATAAGTTCGTGTTCAAACTTGTCGATAGATGAAAAGTTTTGTTTCCACTGCCAGCAAGCTGCCACCGGCACCATCATCACAAGATGTGATCATTAAAGAGAGAACTCATGTCTGTGTAGATGTGCCAGTTTTTTGACGGTTTGAAGAATATATTCTATAACTGCCAAATTATCTCAAGAAGTGAGAAAGTCTCAGGAAAGACACTGGATAATGTGCGATAGTTAAGCTTGCGAAGTGACATTTTTCTGAACGATATTAATTAGAAACTAAATGAAATATCCTGAAAAACTGCCGGGATAATCCCGGTTTTGTATGAATATATTATTAAAGAATAAAGGATATTACATGGGCGCGCGGAGATACGAAATTCATCTTCGAGTGGAAGAGATTTTGAACACGAGAAGATAAATTTCGTATCTCCAAGCGCCCGTGTAATATTCTGTTTATTATATAATTATCCATAAAATCAACTTAACAAGCTTTTTATGATTATGAAAAGTTTTTATCTATAAACTAATAGCTTAAATACACATGGTAACGATATTTTCATATGTGAAAATATCAGTTTTTCGAGAAGGAGAAATATAGGTATTTTATGGATAATTATATGATAAAATAACGAATTTCATGAGACTAACTGAATACAGTCAAAACTCTTAGTATACACTGTTAGTAACAGGTATTTAAGATGAAAATAGTCACTGGAAAGCTGATTTAGCAACTAAATATCGCGCATGTGTAGGGTAATTAGTAATCTAATAAGCCAGAGTGAACAGGATAGCAACAAGGCTACTGTGTTGCACTTGTTTTCTTATTTCGATAGAACTGTGCAAATAAATAATCTGTTATCAATTTTATTTGTTGTGTCATCTGAACAAAACATTAACCTATGAAATGTGGCTTTTTTTTTGTTTTTTCTTCTGTTTTTTGTTAAATGCGCCGGAAAATGTTGATTAAATGCCAAACATTAATAATTTTAAATCCTTTTATAACAATGAACAAATGGAGGCCGTTACAAAAAGAATCACTAAGGATTTTAACACTTACCAGCTATAACTATGTTTCTTCATAGCACAAAACTAAAATATATTAAAGTATATCAAACCAGGCGACGGAACAGAACGACTACGATACCCTTGCGGTTGGGAATAGTATTCAGAGTAAGATATTCTCTTTTAAGGTCGGATACCAGTATTTCAATGTTTCCACTGTTGACGTCTGAGATTTTGTTTGTTCCAGATATTCTTCCCCCAACCTGTCAGTGCAACAGCTGGTTCAGAGTGAAATACAGAGCTAAATAATCCCCAGCCAATGATTATTCTATTTTGACTATATTGTACTATAGTTCGCTAATTTTGGCGAAATAATCCAATAAGTCAATAGTTGGTACTTAACTCAAGTCTTGCTCGGTGAATTCGCTTGATTTTTTTCTTTCCATCTCATCCGAGTTTGCATCTGTTTTCCGACGGGTTGATTTTAATTTGTCTGTAGCCTGGTTGATTGGTACTATTTGGAAAGACTAGATAGCAACGATCCGGCTTTTATTTCTCGCGTGGATTACCTTGTCAGTATGTTCTTTCTTATCTGCCATTTAATCACTAAATGAATGTTTATCATAAATACTTCTCACTTCTCTTAACAGACTTGAAAAAAGAACATAGTTGAAATGCATGCATATTCATTTATTCAGTCCTTATCTCCTTCATTTTCAATTGTATATGTAATATATTAATTCATTACCAAAATACATTTTGGGAAGAGAAAACACCTTGTACTTGCTATTCCAAACTCATCACTCATTAAAGAAATATGAATGCGCATAACCTTTATGTTGTCTACGTAAATGACCAAGACAAAATATAATTCCTTTAAGCATAAAAACCTATCATTTGTCATCTTTTGAAAAGGCTGTCTCTTTTTTGAAAGACTTTAGATTTGAAGCTATTCCATTTTTCTTTTCTGAAAGATCCATCGCAAGAATATCCGGGGACTTGATAATGACGTAACTAGGAGACAGCTTGAAGGATCAAAAAGAAAATTGGTTGAAATGATTTCCGGAATACCTCATAAAAACACTCAAATATATTGTATCATCGTTGAAACCTTGTCTATCTAGCCCTTGGAAAGAGGCATGGGTCACACTTCAAGCTCATTAAGCGGCAGATGGGGAATGAGTTCTTGTCTGATGATAAAATGAAAACTTGAGTACTTAAAAGACAAGAGGCTTGAAAAGCCAAGGACAAAAATGCAGTTTATTTACGCATCTCAGACGACACCAAAAAAAAAACACCAGAAGTTCTTAATTAATCATATCTATATATCATAATTAGTCATTTAAACATTTAATAGTTTTGCTTAGGCAATTGAGCATCACAAACTGATATACCGTTTATTGGTATAGTCAGGAGGAATTGTTAATTGCCATACACAACCTATTTATTAGTACTTGTCTCATAGATTTCCGTAAGCGATAAAACACAAATTACTTTCGTTTTTAAAGCATTTCCTGTATATATTAGCTTCACCAAGCTGTTTTTTCTTACTTTGTTTCATAGTTACGACGAGGAGTTACTGGTTTTTCTCGTTGGAAAAGCTTTCTAGCCTTCCCGCCTTCTAGGGTTAGTGTAACAAGGTAGTACTAAGCTCTGTCATTCGTTAAATCAACTACACTGTAAATAAATTTGAATCCTAGTTTTTTATTAACTTAAAAAAGTTTATCCAAAGTCGTCCAGTCGTAATTCTTCGTAGAGTTATTGTACTCCTTGCATAGTTACGACAATTTTTCTTGAACTTCCACGATCTCTATGTTCGCACAGCCAAATCCCTTGCCAAGTACCGAGGTTTAATCTTCCACTAGTTATGGGAATAGTTAGACTGGCTCCCATCAGACTTGTCTTTACATGCGCTGGAAAGGAATTAAAGTGCGGTAACTTCAATATCCAGCAAACGCAGGACAGTTGTGATTCTCCCAGGAATGTAAGAAGAGATTATTAATGAAAAATTTCTGGCACAAAATGTGTGACTAAAGCAACTGTTATATATCACAGGTCTTATTGATCAGAAAATTAAAATTACCAGCGCGCGCAAATCGAATTACTGATATAAACTGACTTTACWGACAAAGTCTAGCCTGCATCACATCCGGAATTTTCTACGAAGAAAATCAAGAAAATTCCGGGGAAGAAAATCAAGAAAACTCCGGATGTGACGAAGGCTAACAAAGTCTTGTATTAAAATGAATAATAAAATCTCCAATGAACGGAACCCCAAAGTGAAATTATTTACGCTTCCGGTTGTTTAAAAAAAACAAGGCTACAGTCGCAGACGTCTAATGTGCCAGCTTTCATCAATCGAAGCTACTCATTAGACGAGTTGTTGTCTGGGGTGGAGAAATTAATCATAGATCCGGCGGTACATCGGCCCCATTATCCCCTATCATTTACCGGGCATGTCGTCTGATTCCTCCATGGTGTGGGTGTAAGGAGCATTCTCTGGTGCCAGCCTGTTCAACATCATCTCCATATCAACTCTCACAGATGGATCCCAGCTCTCGTTCAACGATAGACTAGCAGATGTATGTTGAATACAAAGATTAACTAAGCCAACCTTGTACTTCCTTAGCTCAGGTATGCTGGTTATTTCATCTGTTATGAGGTGAATACCTCGCTTTTTTGATTCGATGCTTACTACAGTCTGACTCCATACAGTAGGACCAGAAAATGATGACGCCATTTTTTGTGTAAAAACCCTCGGATACGAAGAGCTACAAAGCTTAGGATAGAATTGGCTCAAAAAGTACTTTTTCAAGGTATTTTCTACCTGTAAAACACAGTTTCTTGCCAACATAAAACGATAATATATTTTGTCTCTATAAAACCCTTCCCTCTACCCTTTATGAATCCAAACAGGCGTTCAAAGCAAGCTGGCCTGGTCACTAAAGAATAAGATAAAAACTCCTGGGGGAGGGGTACTACAAATCATATTTAACTTAATAATTACAAACTCCAAAATTATTATTCAGAATCCTGTATAATTCAAAATATAAAATCAATGAACTTTGTTCTTTTTGGAATAGGTTAATTTTAATTTGCCTTAGATACACATATTGAAATCAAGAGGTCATTACAAACCATAGCCTTACCCCTCTCCCCTTAGTGATAAACCCTAGCTTTCATTACACAGGGTGACCACATCATATATTTCCACATGTTCTTGTCACTACACGTGGGTTCTCTTGTCAAGAAAGGCTTCAAAATATCTGCTGTAAAATTCTACTTCACCAGGACAATGTCTATGGAAGCAGGGAAGAAAGCAGCTGCTATACATGCTGTCAATACTTTTGTAAAGGTAATTCAAAATGTTTGTTTTTCCTTGAAACTTCTGTCTTAAATATTTTTGATCGAGATTTTGGAGATTTTCTTGTGTCTGTAATCACAACTCTTGTAAAACTTCGTTAGCAAAACACTCTTAATGAGATTATAAGTTTACTAGGAATCATTTCCAGTGAATAGCTGGGTTTATAATGTACTAAATGTGCTATGTTTTGTAGGATAAACAAGTTATTGGTGTTGGTAGTGGTTCTACAATTGTATATGCTATACAAAGATTAGGTACCTACACTTATTCTAGATAGAACTGAGGAACTTACTGATTTTTACATGATATTTGAAGAGAAATTTTATAGGGGCCGTTTACATGGAGAAAACTTGCACCTGGTATCAGGGACATCCACCTACTACTCGACCCAACTATATCAAGYGTTTATATGTAAAAAAGGTTGTCCTTATCAACCTGGGACAAGTATCGGTCTTATGAGATACGCATGCTCAAATAAAAAAATTTGTCTCAGTTAGGCAAGTTAAGGTGTTCACATTGGGAAAAGTTGTCCCGGGTAACAGGGTCACCCTCTTTCGTAAAGAGAGTAACTCTACCTGCAGGGTGACCCTTCTAGCCGAAGCAAAGTAAAATATCTCATGTAAACAGTTAAGATGAATTTACAAAAAATTAGGGAAACGTTAGTCCGCCTTGGGTAGCTTGGGGAAGAGGATATTCCTTCTACCAGGGACAGTATGAACTATTTAATTGTTTTATTTCTAGTTGAGAGAGTTAAAGAAGAAAATTTACAAATCACATGTATCCCAACATCATTCCAGGTAATTAAATTGAACTAACATCAATTTATAGAGTACAAATACTAAATGTGTGCAATAGTTATCACTATTTAGTAGTAAATAGCACTAATTAAACAAAAGAAAACAATATAATTAGCATAAAATAGCACTATTTAGTGATATTTATGTTGCACACTTTTAGTGTTTGTGCTCTACCATTGATTCATACCATWTATACAAGTTTGAAAATGATTTTGTTATTTTTCAGGCCCGTCAGCTTATAGTTGACTCTAATCTGGTGTTAAGTGATCTGGACAGACACTGTGAACTAGATGTTGCTATTGATGGTGCCGATGAAGTGGACAGTAAATTAACACTAATAAAGGGTGGAGGGTAAGCCATCTATTCCTTGGTGGTACTATTTTGAGAGGTGGAAGTACGCACATACACTTTAGCACAAAAGGTCCAACCAAATTCACCAGAATCCCATCAGTAAAAGCTGTGGAAAAAATATTTTATTGCAAAGGCCTTTCCTAGGATTCCTAAAATCATATTTAAACTTGTAAAAAAGAATTCACAAAAATGGAAGTAGAGGGCTCCAACAATGGCGCAGTGGATATAGTGCTCCTAACTTTYACTCGAAGATCAGTGGCTTGTAGTGGCTGGAGGGGTGAAAATTATAATGTGTAAGAACCTATTCCATATATACCCACAGCCTACCTGAGTAGCATGATAGAGTGTGCCTTGAAGTCATAATGAGAGATTTTTACATTGTCTTCATTTAGTGGCTGCCTCACTCAAGAAAAGATTGTAGCTTCTTGTGCAAAAACATTTGTAGTCATTGCTGATGACAGGTACGTCAAGGTTAAATGGAAATGGAATATATTTTTTACATCGAACAAACAGGAAGTGATTGGTACTCCATGTCAGATTGAATTGGAATTGTGGATTTGATTTTAATTTGCAGAGGGAAGAAAACCAGCAAATCCAGAGAAAAACCCTTGAAGCACACGGAGAACCAACCAACATATCTATTCACATACATACAACACTGAGCCCATGAATGACACCTAGGTCGCAAGAGGCAAGCACATTAGCAGTGCATGCCATCATGGTTTTTCTTGGATGAAACACTTCAAAAAATTTTCTATAGCCTTCCAGCCAAACCTTACTCGCATCAATGACATTGGTCACTCTGATTGGTCTTTTGAAAAATTTAAAGTGAGTAAACGTGCAATAAATACAGGGATACAGGAATACCATTCACTGGACTGTATCATAATGCAATGAAAATTCTTATTTTTTTCAGTAAGAATTCTAGTGTTCTTGGTGAAAAGGTCAGTATGAGAATTCAATACATATTATAGAACAGAGACATGCTCGTGCAAAATTTTAAGAATATTTTATAACAGCACTAGCTAGGAACTGTAGAGCACTCAAAAGCAAATAAAGCGCTTGGCTACCCCTCGTGTTCCTAATCTTGTTTGTCCTGTGCTCTACAGCTCCCAGCATGTTTTTATCACAGTACAGAGACCAGCACACACATCTTTCATACAGTATAACTTTTGGTCTTCTTCTGTCACAAGATAAAACATATTTTTTGAATACACCTAATTAACTACTGCATGGAGTGGTGCTAATCAATAGGAGTGTTTTCTAAGGGTGACTTGGTGGGTATGGAGAAGAAGGGAGAGAGGAAAGATTATCATATGGGCAAATATCACCACAGTGATACTTGTAGTACCCTTTCTTTAAAGCTGTGAGCAACATTGTTGCCATTTCATTTCCTAACCACAATGGATACAGATACTACAGAACTGTTTCATATTGTTTCTGTCAGGACTGTTTATGCAGGGGCGTAGCCAGGGGGGCTAAGAGGGCCTGCCACCCCCCTCTTCACGCTGTAAAAACCTAAACATCTGTGTAGTCATGCTATAACTTTGACTTACCGATGTTCTAATCATGGGTTTAGGCTCCCCCCCTCCCCCCCCCCCAAGGCAAAATGAAAATTCTGGCTATGCCAATGCTATGATATATTTTGGTTTATTTATATTTAATTTTGTCAGTGGAGCAAAGGCATACCTGTGGAGGTGATTCCAATGGCATACAAACCTGTCATGAATCAAATGAAGAAAATGGGTCTGACACCAACACTAAGGATGGCTAAAGCCAAGGCCGTAAGTCCTACACACTTGATCTAAGATAAGCTATCATCTTGAGTGGTTGAGTGGTTAATAGGAGGAGAGAATTTGGGGGTGGGCTTGGTAGTACGGGAAATTCTCCTTGTTGTTGATTGAAAAGCATTAGGATGGCTGCTGGTTAAATCTATGATCTCATTATTGGTGAAGGGGGAAGGCAAGGGGGAGGGGAGGGGAAGGGGRAAATAATTGATACTTTGCTCCTTTCTCCATATATTCTTTTGCCCTCACGTATGAAGGTCTAACAGTATTTTCCTGTGTTTTGTACTGATGTCAACTCTATCCATCTGTTTTAGGGTCCTGTTGTAACTGACAATGGCAACTTTATCATTGATTTTGGTTTTGATAATGTAAGTGTGTTTTATCACCCACAGATAACTTGTTCCTTTTCCCCTGCAAAGTAACAAAAGATACTTCAGCAAAAGTCAGTTATTTTACAAGTAACTTGAACTGTGTTTTCCATTAGGACAACTGTAAACTAACTCCAGAAAATCCCAAACAAAAATTTACCTTTTCAAATGGAGTTAGATTTATTAGGATGCTTAATTTGTGTTTTTCAGCCTCATGACTGGGAAGATATGAACACGRAACTAAACCTTATTCCAGGTAAGATACTAATACAAAATTCTCTTAGAATTCTCGCTCGACAAGTGAAGGGGGTAGGACATATGGTTTGGGTTTTGTCCCCAATTAGTGGACTGCCATAAAACTACACACTTAAATATACTTTTATTCATTTTGATATCTTAATTCAACTGTCAAATTGAGATGAGTCACCGAGGGATCAATCTTGGGTAACAGACTCTATAATGGTACAACTGATATATTTAATAAATGTTGGAACAAAAACAATACGAGTGATTTTGCTTCCTTTTATTTTGAACGACAACACGCTTCCACACGATACAACGACAAACTCCGTCTCCCTCACTGCCCCAGGCTCTCTCTACTTATAACAAAGGGTTCCCGAACCTAGTCTAAATCTAATACGCACAAACAATGAATGAATCTAATCCCATGATATGTGATTACCATCAATTAGGTGTGGTTGAGACAGGCCTCTTTGTGAACATGGCTAAACATGTGATATTTGGTAAACAAGATGGCAGCGTGGAAACCAGACATTCTTAGGCAATATATAGTACCATGACGTCATTATGATGATTACGTCACGACAATATGACGACATGTGACGTAGAGAAGAAAAGAAGGAAAAAGACTACTCCACGTTTTATTTATTTCTCATAAAACTATTTTACAAATTTTCGTAGCCTTCTTTAAAATAATTAGATGTTTTCTCTGTGATTCAGYTCTTATTTACACTGAAAACATTAATTATTTTTGAAGTAGTTTGACGACACGAATGTTACCGTGAGAACACCAAACATGTYGGATAAACAATTCTAAAGTAAACAGTAAATATCTAGGGATACTTCGATCTTTTAAAGAAAGTCCAAGTTATAAAACGGGTGAAAGAGACCCATTAAATAGCATCTCCATTTGCAGCTTAATCTATAAAAATATATCAATCATTTATGAAACTAGAATAAAGGATGTTTTTGGCCAAAAAGCATGGACTATAGCC